CCTGTCTTGCCAGACTCTAGGGTTGTGCGCTCATCTCACTCTATAGGCTGGGAGCCAGCGCTGTCCGCAGACACTTCCGGGTCACGTGGCCAGCGTGACAAGCTGCATCTGGCGAGCCAGCGCAGCACACGGAACGCCGTTTACCTTCCCGCTGGTAAGCGGTCCCTATTTATCTACTTGCACCTGGAGGTGCTTTCGAACTGCTAGGTTGGCAGGTGCTGGGACCGAACGACGGGAGTGCACCCCACCGCAAGGATTCGAACCGCCGACCATGCGATCAGCAAGTCCTAGGCGCTGAGGTTTTACCCACAGCGCCACCCGCGTCCCTAAAAGATGCTCTCAAGGCCAATCCCCGTCATAAGGGGAACACAAGAATTTCACAAGGGTGGCCCTAAGGCAAATTTTGCCTCTAGACAGAGGAACCAGGGCATACTCTTAACACATATCTCTCCAGGAGAGCCAGCACCTCTCGGACAAAAGTAGTAGAGTTCCCTCTCTCTGCTCCTTGTCTCACCTTCACCAAACAAAGATTATTCCTGAAGCTTCTCCCTTCAGGTTTGCCATTTTGGAATGCAGGCCTATAAGGTCTTCAAAACAGATGAGGCTTGCTGCTCTCGGTTCTCCACTCCCACATTGTGCTGGATATTCCCCCCCCCCCCCCGAGACTTGCAGCACATTAGTTAAGGCCTTAATCTCTGTCACATGCATGGATAAATTATGCAAAGGAGCCAGAAGCTCATCAGATGATGTCAAGGTAGATGCTGGGCCCACCATAGGATCAAACGGTAGCTTGTACACGGTGCTTCCTACTTTATTACCTTTTGCTGGCATTTGTAGCCTAGGACAAGGTAACATAATATCACTGGCAAACAGTGACTAAATATACTGAAGAAACCCATTATTTCTTATTGTTCTGTACATCTCCTTGCCCCCCCCCTTTAAAATAATAATTTTAAAAATCTTAAATCTTATCTACTTCGGTTAAACTGTTTTCATACTTGTATTCCTGTTTCTCTCCACTTCTCCCCTGCATTCCCTTTCCTTTGTGTATTCATTCAAATCAAATGTATTATTGTATTGATAGTAAGCCTTAAGAAAAAAAATAAAACATATTGGATGTATCTAATGGTGGCATGCCTTCACTGGAAAATGCTTCTGCTCATTTAAGCCATCACTGGATACAACCAATTAAGCATAAATTGATAGTGTCATATAAATATTCATATAAAACTTTATATAATCAGTAACATGTAATCATACGAGAAAGCATGCATTACAATTCTCAGTTATATCTTCAATGATCTACTACATGACTTTTCTTATAAAATGGATGGCATGTTACCACCATGAAAGTAAAAACAAAGTTTTCTTCTGTTGTTACTCTGTTACTAATGTCAAGCAGAAATTCAATTTTCTGTTAGATCATTAGTTGTGCCCATCTAAAAACGGAGCCAAATGCATCCATTAAATTATATTAAAAACTTGCAGGTAGGATCTAATTGTTTGATATGTTTTGTACATAACAAATTGTTTAGTTATTTCATAAATAATAAATATTATTCACTCAGTGACCCTACTAGTCATATCTGTTTTTGTTTTTATTAACAAAACTACAGCAGCTTAAATTAAGGTCATTTTCAACAGGACCCACATAAACATCCAAATAATAAGTTAGCTCTTTTCTCCCTCATTCAAAGAATGCCCAATTTTTTGGTTATCCTTTATTCTGTTTCCAGAAAAATCTGAACCCAGCCCAATAAATTGCATACAGAGACACACACAGTCACCCCAACGCACACACACATACATAAAAGGAAAGTCATTCTTTGATAACCAAAATAATTAAATAGAAAGAGCAGGTTAAAGATCAGCATTCATTTTTCAAATTAAATTTAAAAGCCTGCTCTAGTTACTTAAAAGATTGGCAAGTTTTACAAATAACATCACCAAGCCTTTTAGAGAGAAACACTGCTGCATTAGAATGAAGTCATTAGGCAATACATTTATTTTGAAGCCAATTAACCTTTTGTCAGAGATGTCGGAACCATAATGGTTTCAGCAGTGGAGGTCAGCCTCTAACAGGGGCACGTATGACAGCGATTACGCTGTCTGACATATGCTGCAGACTGGGAGTGCAGCCGCAGAATGAGAATCTGCCTTCGTTTGTATTCTGCTCTGCATTTCAAGGGAGCAGGCAATCTTGACCTATCCATTTAGGTAATTAAAGCTTCCATTTGGAACTGTCCTGCAGGAAGGTGAAATTTGGGGGGAGATAAATGGCTGCTGCTCACTGTATCCAGCCACTTCCATCATTTGATGGACTGCCTGAAATAGGCTGGGTTGCCAGGTCCTCATAAAAATAGAGATGAATTGAGCAGGAGACAATTCTCTAAGGCAAAGCAACTCTGTCATTTTCCTTTTTTGCAGCATATAATTTAATTGTTAGCCAAGGTAGATGGCTGACTCAGGAGGCCACTCTCTAACTGCTCTCCCACCATCTTCTATTTGCTAAGAAATTACTCCACTTTATTTACTTATAAGCCAACGTTTTTTTGGCAATGAGAGATGTCACTTCAATAAGCGCAGCTGGCTGTCACAGCTGCGCCCTGACTTACCTTCCAGGCTATTTTGTTTCCTCTTGTATCATGCTCAAGGGCGATTGGGAAGTCACCTCGCTCATAAAACTTGCGAAATGCTGTAGGCTTTGTTGGTCTTTCTTTAAATGCTCCTGCCGCTGGGGGACCTTTCACCTAAAAAAAAAAATTAAATTAAAAACCCATCACACAAAATTTGTCTGTATCAAGAAATACATTTCTGATTAAATTAGAGATTTAACCAAATTGGCTAAGAAATCAGAGTGCCACATGTCACCAATGTCAAACATTCACTGTCAGTGTTTTCTATGGAATATTTGTCCCAGGGTTTTTCTTGATGGAGAATTAGCAGGTATAGGAAACACAAGGTGGTTTTCAAATGAATATATATGATTTTGTTTGCAGTGGCATTTCACTTCATGAGCAGTCTTAAAACAGATTTAAAATTTTGCATCTGTTAACCATCAGATGCAAAATCTGGAGGTGATATACCCATTGGGAATTGGTACTAGGAGAGGAGGTAAATTATACATTGGGAGTTGGTAGTACAGACAGTGCTTTTTTTTCTGGGGGTACGCAGACCCCTAAATCTTTCACTTAATATGGGGCTCAAAGCCATTTATAATAAGCAAACCATGAGGCTACATTTTAATATTTTAATGTTCCATTATTTTAATGTTGTATTTTATTTTTGTTTTTAAGTTGTAATCATTCATCTTGTTTTTATTATTGCTTGTAAGCCGCTCTGAGCCCGGCCTTGGCTGGGGAGGGCGGGGTATATATATAAAAATTTTTATTATTATTATTATTATTATTATTATTATTATTATTATTATTAAACATTTTGTGAATCTAAGTTTGGCCTCATTGAGGGGCAGTATTTCAATATGAGTAGGAAAATGAGAATAACCCTAGACATTTTGGGGGGGAGAAGCACTGAGTACAGATACGTAATTCCAGGGTAAAGGTAAAGGGACCCCTGACCATTAGGTCCAGTCACGGACGACTCTGGGGTTGCGGCGCTCATCTCGCTTTATTGGCCGAGGGAGGCGGCGTACAGCTTCCGGGTCATGTGGCCAGCATGACTAAGTCGCTTCTGGCAAACCAGAGTAGGACACGGAAACGCCATTTAGCTTCCCGCCGGAGCAGTACCTATTTATCTACTTGCACTTTGACGTGCTTTCGAACTGCTAGGTTGGCAGAAGCAGGGACCGAACAATGGGAGCTCACCCTGTCGCGGAGATTCGAACCGCCGACCTTCTGATCGGCAAGCCCTAGGCTCTGTGGTTTAACCCACAGCGCCATCTATGTCCCTTAATGCCTTACACCTGCAGGTATAGGGTGGTGTATAAATTCTATTATTATTATTATTATTATTATTATTATTCCAGGGTAGGTGATGATGATGATGATGATGATGATTATTGTTATTATTATTATTGAATTTATACACCACCCTATACCCGCAGGTCTCAGGGCATCTCAGTTTAAAACTCCTGAATAAAAAATTAACAAAGCAGGTTAACACCAAATGGATCAGCATTTGCTGCCAGCAGTTTGAATAACCGAAGTTGCTAATCCCCATCCCATCCCAAGACTGTGCCTGTGAAAAGAAGCTCATAACTGACAAGAGTCCTGTCAGGGTTGGGATAGGTCTTACGGCAGTAAATGTCTGCTATTCGATTCTGCAAATTGATGTGTCTCTTCAGAGCACATCTAACCATCTGGATAGCTCAGTTGGTTGTAGTGCGGTGCTGATAACGCCAAGGTTGCAGGTTCAATCCCTGTATGGGACAGCTACATATTCCTGCATTGAAGGGTAGGACTCAGGGGTCAGCAAACTGTTTCAGCAGGGGGCCGGTCCACTGTCCCTTAGACCTTGTGGGGAGCCGGACTATATTTTTTTTGGGGGGGGGGAACGAATAAATTCCTATGCCTTACAAATAACCCAGAGATGCATTTTAAATAAAGCACACATTCTACTCATGTAAAAACACACTGATTTCTGGACCGTCCGTGGGCCAGATTTAGAAGGTGATTGGGCCAGATGCGGCCCCTGGGTCTTAGTTTGCCTACCCATGGACTAGATGATCCTCAAGGCCCCTTCCAACGCTACAATTCTATTCTGTTCTGTTCTATGACGGTTGGGCAAAGGAACTCTACACAGGGCCAAATCATTGGTCCTTACTGACAGAAATGTCAATCCAGGCACATACTTGTTTATTAAATACATGCTCCAGTTTGGCTACAAAGTGAGAGTACAGCTTAACTTCTGACACTAAAAGGAGTGGGTCGAAGAAGGGAACAAAGTTATTACCAACCAGCATTACTGCAGGAATAGAAGCATAGAATTGTAGAGTTGGAAGGGATCACAAGGGTCATCTAGTCCAACCCCCTGCAATCTTTCACTTAATATGGGGCTCAAACCCACAACCCTGAGATTAAGAGCCTCATGCTCAACCAACTGAGCTAACCCCCAGCTGATGTAGTTTCTAAGGCAAATGTGATTATCATTGTAATGTTATGGTTCCATAGATCTTTAATTCTAGGTTTGAATCACAAGACTGTATTCACATGGTTCAAAAATCTTGTGAGTAACTTGATCCCCCCCATAACAGGTTATACATTTTTATTTACTTTAAAGTATCTATGTTTGTGTGTGTGTGTGTGTGTGTGTGTGTGTGTGTGTATGAGAGACATGACTAATATCAGAATTCAAAGACTTCATAGATTAAACACAAAATTGTCAGAGTGTAACCTAAGGGAGAGTGTTCCATTTCCACATGGCAGGTACTATCACATTGAAAGCCCTATGCCAGATGGAACAAGTCATATTTAAGGATCATGCAGTACTACCAGTAGGTTCTCTCTGGGTAATCTCAGTCAACCAGCAGATATGCAAGGGAGTGTCTGCACACTTTTTTACTACTACTGGTACTACTACTACTACTACCACTAATAATGATGATGATGATGATGATGATGAACAAAATGATATTATACTTGACATAAACAAATTAAGTGCTAAATATGTGCTAAGGGGAATGGGCAAAATTATAGATTCTTAAATATATATATTATGAAGCTTCCTGCTATGAAGCATGTTCTACTTTTTAACATTAATCATTCATCAGTTAAAGGAAAGGAACTAGGAAAACTTGATTATCAGAATTTATTTTGCATCTAAAATTTTCAAGAAATTATGGTAACCTTGCAACATTACATGGATCCACTCATCTATTGAAAGGCATAAACCCCCCTAAAAATAATAATAGATCTGAAAATAAGATATTGAAAGCCATTTATAATAAGCAAACCACATGTCAATTCTTTACTGGTGTAACAGAAGATTAAAATAATTGTTTCTTAATTACAAGTGACATTTCCTTATAATGTCTCTGGAAAAGAAACTCTAGAAGGTAAAGTTTAATGCTCATTTATAACACATTTTATAGGTTGACAATTAGTATTAATGTACTCCAGAGGTACTCCAACAAGCATTTTATTATTCAAGCTCTGTATTTGCTCCTTTGGAATCAAACATATCATCTGAACATTTGTCATGGAGAAGTAGGTGATTCAAGAAGGGGACTTAAATACAATTGATTTTCATAGCCTTCAGTTACTTGGGCTACTAGATCAACTATGGTCTTTTTTTGTTAATTTGAGGAAAGGTGAAAAAAGTTTAAAATGGGTGTCAATTTCTGGAGATAAAACTTAGCGAAAGCAGCACTGATTGCTACAGTTTTAGGACATGCAAGTAAAAAGAGAACGGAACTGTTACGTTGTAGTACTGGAAGCAGTTGAGGTACATCCACTGTTTTGTTCAGAATATTTTTTCCCTGTTTTCCTCCTCTAAAAACTAGGTGCATCTTATGGTCAGGTGCATCTTATGGAGCAAAAAATATGGTATTGGTTCATTTTAAATATTCAAATACGTAAAGGAACGCAGGGCAAGAATAAATAAAACTAGAACCTTGGTCCATCACATGAAGCTGAATGTTGAAAGATTCAGGACAGATGAAAGCACATAGCTCTGGAATTTGCTACCACAAGATGTAGTGATAGCCAAGACTTTAAAAGGTGTTTAGACAAATTAATGGTGGTAAGGCTACCAAGGGCCTCTAGCAATAATGGTTGTGCACTACCTTTGATGTGGTATGTAAATGAATGCTAGTTACTGGGAATCAAAAGTGAGTGTTGTTGTACTCATTTCCTGCTTACAGGTGAGCCAGCCTGAGAACAAGTTGCTTGACGAGATGGGCCTTTGGTCTGATGTAGCAGAATGGCTTTAGGCTTAGACCATCATGAATGTCTTTAACATGGTGTTTTGGGGTTCCCACTATCATGCAGTGTTGGCAGTGTAAACCCCATTATGACATAGATTGGAAATGCAGTTAAGGATCATGAAGTTCCACCATTGAAGAATATTTGCATTCTCCATTCTAAAATCTCTTGGCACATTTCATACATTCTGCCAAGATAGTGAGCACTTGGGAAGCAGGATTCTAACTTAATTATGTAAGACGAATAAGGCACACTGGCTCTCCAATCAATTTTAATCAGTTGCCCTTAATAATGTCATTGATATTGACCATAATATACCCATAGCTGTCAACTTTTCCCTATTCTTGCGAGGAATCCTATTCGGAATAACTAAAGTTATAGCTCTGCAAACTACACACTTCAGGGTCACGCCCCATAAAAAGTAGCGAGAGCAAAAATAAATAAATCCAGTAGTTTCGTTGAAATATGCAACCCCATCCTATATGCAAACCTATCCTACTCAGTAGTAAATTCCACTGAGGTCAGTGGGATTTTCTCCAAAATAATGCGCACAGGATTGCAGCATTATAGTGAAATCCAAATCATGTTTAGTCCTATTGGATTTAATCAGGTTTACTCGCAGGTAAGTGGGGATAGGATTGCAGTCTTAGTCATGATTAAAAGTACAAAACTGGGGGCAAAGTCTGGGATTTATTGAACAGAAAGCTGGATAGTATTCTGCTTTTAAAACAGAGGATTTTCAAAACTAGTTTGCAATATGTCATGGGAGGGGAAAGTTGTGCAAGGGGAAAAACCCAACAGTTTTCAAGATTGTGGCTGACAAAACTATATAATGAAGCATAACTAGAGCAGTTTACAGTTAAGCTGTTCACTTTGCAGAAAGTCACAGCTAAGAAAGAGAGACGTGACTTGATTCTTCTGTGAATCATCGCAATTGCAAAATGGAAATTATAATACTATTCCAGTTAATGCAAATTAGATTAATTGGAAGTTAGTGGCTAACAGTCTTAGAATCACTGAAAATCTCACACATCTGGTTAGAAGCTAAATGAGTGCAAAGAACAAACGTTAGCTCATTTTCTTCTTATCTCTTATACAATGAACCCTAATGGGTTGGTTTCAAATGTCATATCTCAAATAAGCAGACGGGCCAGTGTGCCCAAATGAGGACATAAACTGAGGGGACAGAACTAGCCCTTGAAAGAGAGAACTGGAGAAAGCAATACAACACAATGGGACTTAATCATGTGAAACATGAGGCTCCTTGTATGCATGTCTCCCTTCAAGGCAAAATTTTACAACTAAATAAATAAGAATTCAGTTTTGAACCCACATTAGCTAGTATAGTCTTTATGCTTTTTTTCCTGGAGTATCATTAGTCCCTTCATTTAAAGAGACGAGTACTAAAGCATTTTCAAAAAACCACAATGTTATGTGACTACATACTCTAAACCATTTTTTTATTCCATACTTATAAATGAAACATTAAAATCCAGGAAGCAAGCTGTCTCAGACCGCTTAAGCATAATTTACACAACCACTAGTTTTACTTGATGAATATTTCTCACATGTTAATGACTTTAAATAGGCCCACCAGTCACATGTATTGCAGATATTCCTATAGGCAGATGTATGAAACAGCATATAAAAATATGCTCCCGTCTAAAAAGTTATAATGGCGACTCAGGAGTCTCACAGCAAATATTTAACAGGTGTTCAAGGAAGTTTCACAGGGCATTGCATATTTCTTTGTTATCCAAGAGCTTTAAAATTATTTATTTATTTTTACATGCGTCTGTTTAGTGTTTTGCCTTTATTTACTGCATATGGTATAAAGGAGAAATGCTACCTTAATCTTAACAACAACAACAACAAATTTTAAAACATGATTTGTAAGGTAATACTTCAATATTAAAAGAAATGATAAAGGAATATAAGTAACTAAGGGTACAATACTAAACTGAAAATCCCTGGTTGAAAAGCTATAGAATTCAGTAGAAGCCCTGCTATGCTGGCAAAATGTCAGAGATGCTACTACTATGATACATATACGGGCAAAACATGCCATCAGCAGAGCCATTCTGTTGGTGAAGATGTGGTGGAACATGTGGCTGACATGTGGGCAGCGTAGGGGAGGAGCCCTTGTTTGCTTATATTCTTTCTGTTCACTGCTTGGGTTACCCTTCTATATGTGCTTTTCCTCTCTGTCTTATGGGTTCCATCCCTCTGAAGTTCAGAAGAGGCAGATGTGGGATGATTCCTCTTGTGTAGTTCCTTGCCCAGAGGGCTGGGTGCATTGTCACGCGAGGAACTCTTCCACTCTTCTTACTTTGCTCATCACCCATTATCACCCGGGGCATAGCTTTGCTTCATCCTGAATCTTATGTGCGAATATCAGAGGTATATCTATTTGGGCCAGTGACCTTGGAGCATGTGGGCATTTGTGCTCTCTCCAACTGTTGGGGGCATTCCTCAGTTGTTTGACAAGGGCAAGAAAGCTGTATTTGTTGAGTTGATCCAACCTACATTTGTGAGCATGCATTGGTGTGTATGCATTTTATCAGAGCATACCACAAGATTCTTATGCTGGTTGCTTCTGTCTCACTACGTGCCTTTCTCCACCCCCATCGTTCAGCCCGAACACTGAGGTCCAGCTCCAAGGGGAGAGCCAGTGTGGTGTAGTGGTTAAGAGCGGTAGACTCGTAATCTGGGGAACCGGGTTCGCGTCTCCGCTCCTCCACATGCAGCTGCTGGGTGACCTTGAGCCAATCACACTTCTTTGAAGTCTCTCAGCCTCACTCACCTCACAGAGTGTTTGTTGTGGGGGAGGAAGGGAAAGGAGAATGTTAGCCGCTTTGAGACTCCTCAGGGTAGTGATAAAGCGGGATATCAAATCCAAACTCTTCTTCTTCTCTTCTTCTGGTGGTTCCCTCCCTGCGAGAAGTGATGTTACAGGGAACCAGGCAGAGGGCCTTCTTGGTGGTGACGCCCACCCTGTGGAATGCCCTCCCATCAGATGTCAAGGAAATAACAACTATCTGACTTTTAGAAGACATCTGAAGGCAGCCCTGTTTAGGGAGTTTTTAATGTTTGATGTTTTATCACATTTTTAATATTCTGTTGGGAGCCGCCAGAGTGGCTGGGGAAACCCAGCCAGATGGGCGGGATATAAATAATAAATTATTATTATATTA